CTTCATCTCAGCTGTGGGAGGCAAACTTAAACCTATTATGTCATGGAAAGGTGGTAACCAGAAGTTTCAAGGCAAAAACTTGGACTGCAGGCAGGCTCAACAAATCAGGCTTGGCCACGTGGTCCTAATACGACAATGGGGAACCACAGTGAAAAGTAGAGACTTCACTGTAGTCATGTTTGAAAGAGGAGATAAAGAGTCCAGTGGCCTGTCTGTTTTCAGGAGGCTAAACAGAGGAAGCCAGGGGGCAGGAAACACAACCCATGCTTACTTATGCAGTCCTGGCAAGGTGTGCTTTGGCTGACCAACAGCTCAGCTCTGGGTCTGCCAAGTAGTTCAAGAAGTCTTTATTGTTCAAGGGGATGGTGAGGCATGGTGGGTAACTGCCCTCCCCTTGGGGTCTGACCTATGGACTATGATTGCTGGGGGGAGTTTCATTCCATAGTATAAGGATATTCATTAACCAGTCTAGATGTTCAAGGAATCCAAGATGACTATGAGGAAGAGGCTCAGGAGGGATTGAGAGACAGCAGGAAGCAGAGCTCAGGGCTGACGGAGTGGATCTGGGCCTGTAGCTACTATCCTTCATCAGCTCTTGATGGCTCATCCCCTTTCTAGGCTGTGCAAATCAAAGGGTTCTACAGTATCTCTGAGAGTTGAGCCGTGTTTTCCCTCCGGTGAAGAGCCGATGCTCAGCCCACACACTGCCCTAGCCAAGTGCGGTTGGCAGCCTGGGCTCCCCACCTCCAACACCCAACTTCTGAGGGGGCAGCATTCCCCAGATCAGATTGGGGTGGGTGGGTGCCAACCCTCAGCTACTTTGTTCTGAGGCTAGAAAGCCTCAGCTGACAGTGAAGTGGAAAGAGGCAGCTTAATTTCCTGCTACTGTGAATCTGTGGTGGGTGGGCAAGGGCAGAGAGCAGAAGTAGTGGTCCTGAGGAGGCCTGGATAGGTCACTTGGGCCTCAGGAGAAAACCATCAACCATCACTCCATGCTGTCCCCCTTCTTTGATCTCCCCTCAACTGTTCTTTTTCTAATATGCCGTGTGTGTGTGTGTGTGTGTGTGTGTGTGTGTGTGTGTATGTGTGTGTGTATGTGTATGTGTGTGTGTGTGTGTGTGTGTGTGTGTGTGTATGTGTGTGTGTATGTGTGTGTGTATGTGTGTGTGTGTGAGATAGGTGGCTTACCAGTGCCCATTGGTCCCATTTGTGGCTTTCCAGTTGTCACCTACAGCTATGTTATCAGACACAGAAATGTATACAGGATCAGAGTCGTGTGAAAAATGGCCTGTCTAGATCCACTCGTCAGCCCTAAGCTCTGTTTCCTGCTGTCTCTCAATCCCTCCTGAGCCTCTTCCTCACAGTCATCTTGGATTCCTTGAACATCTAGACTGTTCAACAAACAGGTCTGGCAAACTAGGTATCTAGCTTCAGAACAAAATCAGATCCATATATTCCACCCACATAAGATCAATTTAAACTGGCTCAAAGACCTTGATTTAAAACTGGAAACACTGAAACTTCTGAGAAAAACCTCAAGGTCTATAGTAAGTAAGAACTGAATGAGGGGCAGGGTGGTGTGGTACAAATCTTTAATCCTAGCACTCAAGGGAGGCAGAGGCAAGGGAATCTCTGTGTTTGAGGCCAGCCTGGTCTACAGAGTGAGTTCCAGGACAGCCAGGGCTACACAGAGAAACCCTGTCTCAGAAAACAAACAAACAAATGGATGAGTGCTGAAGATGGTGACTTCTGCCAGGTGCAGTGGCCCATGGTGGGTAACTGCCTTCTCTGTGAGGAGGTCTGTCCTACTGGCTTCTGGTTGCCACGGGTAGTGGTGGGGTGGGATAGTTCTCAATCCTTGCCAAAAAGATGTTTATTAGCCCGATCTATTGTACAAAGAACTGCAAAAATTAAACACTATGAAACCCCAAACTGACAATCAAGGAATGGGTTAATGCATTGCAGACATTCTCAAAAGAAGACATACAAGTAGCCAATAAACATTTTTAAAAAATTAAATAAAGGCAGGTGGATCTCTGAGCTTGAGGCCAGCCTGGTCTATATAAAGAGAGAGTCCCAGGACATCCAAGGCTACACAGAGAAATCTTGTCTCCAAAAACTAAAAAATAAAACAGTAAATAGAATATTTTAGCCAGGCATATAGCATACACCTTTAATCCCAGCACTTGGGAGACAGCAGCAGGCAGATCTCCGAGTTGGAGTCCAGCCTGGACTACACAATGAGTCCCAGGACAGCCAGAGCTACACAGAGAAATCCTGTCTAGGAAAGAACAAACAAATAAAAATTTGTTCAACACCTGTAGCCATGAGAGAAATGGGTTCTAAAACTACTTAGCTATCTTAACCTCACTCTGTACAGAGCGGTCATCATCAAAAAAACCAGACAGCACACGCTGGCACCGATGTGGGGAAAGAGGACTCCTTATTCACTGCTGGTAGGAGTATGAACTGGTGCTGCCACCAAAGAAACCAGTGTGGTGGCTTCAAAGCTAAGATTAGAACCCTCATATGATGCAGCTCTAGCACTCCAGGGCACGTATCCAAAGGACTGTAGCCTACCACAGAGATATCGTACCTGCATGCTCATGGCTGCTTTAATACAATGGCTGGGAAACAGAATCAGCCTAGATGTCCATCACATGTCAAATGATGACCAGGTCATGACAATGTGGTATGTACGCAGTGGAAATCTGTTAATCTTCAAAGAAAACTGAAAATTTCAGAGAAACAGATGGAACTAGAAAGTATTACCTTAAAGGAGGTGGCCCAAGCTTGGAAAAAAAAAAAGCTTCATGCTCTTTCTCATATTGTAGTTTGTAAAGTATACGTGTACCTGTTGAGGGGAAATGTAGGTAAGCCTAAAACACTAGAAAGGAGACCAAGAGAGAGTAAAAAGAGGTTCTGAGGAAGAGAGGGGGTGAGCGAGTGAGTGCAAAGGTCACACAGGACATGAAATCAGGAAGGAGGGGTTGGAGGAGAGGGAGGGGTGGAAATAAAGAGAGAGGAGAATTATGTATACTGCACTTTATTCAGCAATTTCACTCTGATATACCTAGTTGTTCATATTCTGATTTTAAAATATTAATTACATTTTAGACAGGAATGTTCTTTAAAAATATAAAAGCATGGATGGGCACAATGGAACACAGCTTTAATTTCAACACTCTGGAGCAGAGGTAGGTTGATCTCTGAGACCAGCCTGGTCTACACAGTTACACAGTGAGTTCTAAGACAGTCAGGGACACATAGAGAAGTGCCTTTAAAAGTCACACACACTGCTGGGCGGTGGTGGCGCACGCCTTTAATCCCAGCACTTGGGAGGCAGAGGCAGGTGGATTTCTGAGTTCGAGGCCAGCCTGCTCTACAGAGTGAGTTCTAGGACAGCCAGGGATACACAGAGAAACCCTGTCTCGAAAAACAAAACAATACAAAACAAAAAAGTCACATACACACAGACACACAGACACACACACACGCATGTATACACATATATAGTTGTTTTATATACATTATATGTATGTATGTAATGTATGTATGTATGAAAAGCCTGCCTTTTCCTTTTCTTGAGATGTGTGTGTATGTTTATGAATGTTTTGACTGCATGTATGTCTGTGCACATACATGTGTTTTTGATGCTCACAGGAGCCAAAAGAGGGTGACAGAGTTTCTAGAACTGGAGTTTACAGATAGCTGTGAGCCACTATGTAGGTGTTGGGAATCAAACTCTGGTCCTCTGGAAGAGTAGCCTTTGCTCTTAACCACTGAGCTATCTCCCCATCCTCTAGGAAACCATCTTCTTAAAAAAAAAAAAATCTGGCTTCATCTAGATCTGATTCCCATCCCACAGCCTGGGTTCTCTGCAGCTATCCCTGTGTGTTTGGAGAATACTGGTTCTCTGTGTCCCCGGTGGAGAACTCTGGTTCCAAATGTATAGCTGTGTTTCTCCACAGTGTATACTCACACGATATTCACAAGACTGCTGACTGCACCAATGTCACAGCCCTTAACAATCTCATGGAAGAGGATTCCTGGGCAAGTAGGAAAGCGTGGTGCACCCACCACAGTGGCTGGAACCTGGGGTTTGCTTGCTGTGGAGTACCCAAGGGGTACATGTGGGAGCTGTGTGGAGCAGCTTAGAGGAGATGGTTAGGAGGGTCTTGAACATGGGCTGGAATTTGGATTTGAGGTGGTGGATGCTAAGGAATCTCTATAAGTGTCGGTAGTGTCCTGGCTAGAATTTTTTTTTCCAACTTTACACAAGCCAGGGTCATCTGGGGTGAAGCAACTTCCGTTGAGAATTGGCCTGTAGACAGGTCTGTGGGTGTGTGTGTGTGTGTGTTTTTCTGATTAATGATTGATGTGGCCGGGCAGTGGTGGCGCACGCCTTTAATCCCAGCACTTAGGAGGCAGAGGGAGGCGGATTTCTGAGTTCGAGGCCAGCCTGGTCTACAGAGTAAGTTCCAGGTCAGCCAGGGCTACACAGAGAAACCCTGTCTCGAAAAACCAAAAAAGAAAAAAAAAAGCTCGCTGTGGAAGAGTCTATTTTTTCATAGTTAGTTCCGCCCTGGGCAGGTTGCTCTGGGTGTGTAAGAAAGCAGGCTGAGCAAGCCATGGGGAGCAAGCCGGTAAGCAGTACCCCTCCATGGTCTCTGCTTCAGTTCCTGCCTCCAGGTTCTTGCCTTGGCTTTCCTGATAACCTAAGCCGAACAAACTCTTTCCTCCCAAGTTGCTTTGGGTTTTGGTGTTTATCATAGCAATAGAAACCCTATATAAGACAAATAAAAAATGTGGAGGCTGAGAGACAGAGGTCAAGCACGAGACAGCATCATCCAATAATGGGGACTCCCCCATAGCCAAAGTGGGTCTATGAGCACACTCTCCCTGAGCTATGACAAGGGTGACATGTCTTTGCTTCCTGTTTCTCCCCCATCAAGGGCAGTTTCCGGCAGCAGCTTCAAAAGAACAAATACTCAAAACAAAGGAAGTGGTCCTCTACTGCAGGAAGCAGGAAGCTGTAGCTGCTGAGTCCTAGGCTGAAGCCCAGGGACAGTGGGATGGAGTCCGTGGCCCTGTACAGCTTCCAGGCCACCGAGAGTGACGAGCTGGCCTTCAACAAGGGGGACACACTTAAGGTACAGAGGGCTGGAGCAAGGCTGAGTGGGCCAGCAGGGTTGGCGGGGTTGGAACCAGCACTCCAGATAGTCCTGGTAGTCTGGGATGTGAGGGACAGGCTCAGGTTAGCTGCTTCTGCCCTCTTCAGTTTCCTCGTTTAGGAATTTGGAATAGTGTTTATTAGTGATCCTTCCTTTGGGGTCATTGTGAGAGTTTGAGGCAGCTGCCACAGTGCCTGGCAGGAGTTGCTTCAATCCCACAGTTTTCTAGGTTGTTTGTTTGTTTGTTTTTTAAGAAAAGAAGTTTAATAGACAAGTTTTGAGACTAGTAACTGAGAGAGAGAGAGAGAGAGAGAGAGAGAGAGAGAGAGAGAGAGAGAG